CATGTGCTATAGTCACTTCCTTCCTGGTAGTTTTGATGACAGGAAAAGAACAAACCCTGTTACAGGTCCTGATCAATCTTTGGAGCTTAGAAAAGCAACACGTTGACAGTACTTTTTGAATTGTCATAACCGTTTATTTTTGGATACTGAAAGCCCCTCAAAAATCCATTATCTGATCGCTGGGTGTTATATAAGACGGACGAATCGCTGACCTCTACCCCCGAAACCAGTAATCCATTGCGTTAATTAATTGAGTTTAAGTAAAATCTTAAAATATTTTTAAAAACCCATCATCATCTCTCAAATAGGGCCTCTCAGAAACTACACGTCCGCAGTTCATCATTTCTCATCACCTTAATGTCTTCTAACTCCTGAAAACTTTGGCAGCTGGAGACATTCCTTTAGCTCACTACACAAGGTATAGAGAACTGCCCCGTATTTTGTAAAGCACATTGCACACACCAGGAGAGCAAGCCATGAAGACTAAATAAAGCTGGCACGAATGGGGAAATCAAGGCACCACTGGCCAAAGAAGGGGACAAGGCCACTGGGAAAGAAACTATACAGGTTTCACCGTACATTTACCACCTGGCTTGCAGTGCCATCTCTAGAATGTTCCTCATTACATCCTTCTGCAAGTCAAACACCCTCATCTTTCTTATTCCTCTGGACCTTGCGTTTGTCTTTGTTCTCCTCCAGGGGACCTGACCGGTTGGTCTCCGATCCTTCCTTCACTTAGCACCACCTAGCACCATAAAAACAGCTTCTCGTTCCTCATCCTAACCACTTTCAATACACGCCCCACTGGCCTTGGCATTCATTTGGTGCTTCGTCATATTTACTCCTGGTGCCTCACTCTCCACAACAAGAATCTTATGCCCTCACTCTTCATGACCATGCAGTGCCTTCTCCTCCATTCACAGATATTCTGGTTTCCTCTCCTCCGAGAAGCATGGTAAGATTGCACACCACAGCCCCACTTTAGAGTCAGATACGGGGTTGCTTATTTTGGCCGATGACATGTAGAAAGGTGCTATGTCATGTCCAGGGACAGGCTTCAAGAGGCTTGACGGCACACTCCCCCACCCCCAGTCTCTACCATAGAGGAGCACGGAGCTCTCCCCAGCTTCCTGGATGAGTTAGAGCAGCACCCCCGGGGCTCAGCAGCAGGGCTAGATATTTAGCAAGAGAGAAACAAGCCTCTGAGGTGACAAAGGGCTGCAATACAGAGGCTTCGTGTTACTACAACGTAACCCAGTTACAGACTTTGCTTCCTAATTCAGTGAGAAAATAGAAGCAACCAGAAGACACCTCTACAACCCCCCAGACCGCATCTGCCATTAATTAGTCCCTTTATACGCTCCTTCCTCCTGTACTACTGGGAAAATTCTCCGCATTCCTAAAGCTAATCTTTCAACTTGTACACTGGACTGCATCCTCTTTTATCTACTCAAGGCCATCATTCCAGCATCTCTCTCCTTTGTCTCTCACATCATCAGGTTTTCACTCGCTACCAGATTACCTCTGTCAGTAAATACACATACTACAATATCTCCTTTCTTAAGAAATTTCTTTTGGGATGCCTGGGTGGCTCAGTGGTTGAGCGTCTGCCTTCAGCTCAGGGCGTGATCCTGGAGTCCTGGGATTGAGTCCCACGTCGGGCTCCCTGCATGGAGCCTGCTTCTCCCTCTGCCTGTGCCTCTGCCCCCGCCCTCTTTCATAAATGAGTAAATTTTAAAAAAAAATCTTAAAAAAAAAGAAAAAAAATTCTTTTTTTAAGATCCACGTCTCCTCTCGTAGCCCCATTCTATTTGAAGTGAGTCGCAATACTCACTCCTGTTTTCTCTGGAATGATCTCTAGGTAGGATACTGCGTGCCCTTCTACATTGACGCTACCCTCATCACCATCACAAATGACACTGAATTTGCTAAGTCTAGTCATCAAATCTCAATCCTCTGTGACATAACATTGACTCGGTTGACCACTTCGGGGGGAGGGGAGGCAACTTTATCTTCAGAGACTGGGTCTTGTCTGTGTCAGCTCTTCATTTATCACAAGTTCACTGTAGGAATTTTGTAAGCCAACAGCATATGGGATAATATTTCTTAATAACCCAATAAAGAGGGACACCTGGGTGGCTCAGTGGTTGGGCATTTGCCTCTGGCTCAGGTCACGATCCTGGGGTCCTGGGAACGAGTCCCACATGGGATCCCTGCAGGGATCCTGCTTCTCCCTCTGCCTGTGTCTCTGCCTTGCTCTCTGGGTCTCTCATGAATAATAAAATCTTAAAAAAAAAAAAAAGCCCAATAAAGAAACAACATACCCCAAACCAATGATAGGTTGGTTAATCACACTATTGTGAAGATGAAAGAAATAAAGCCCAAATTTACCTGAAGTGTCCCTTTATACCAGCTGATACTCAGGAGAGCCGGTTTCCTCAACCAAGCGCTGATGTCTGCTGTTGCTAGACCGTGTTGCTAGGAACAATGAGGCCCCTATTGATGGGCAAGAGGGTCTCCTTGACCTGCCACTTGGCTCAGGTTTTGCTATGAATGGCTATTGCCACTGAGGCTCACAATTGTCCAAACAGCAGCAGGAGCTAATTGTTCCACGGTCTTAAGGAGCTGGTGAGATCAGCAAAGAAAATCACCTTGCCCAGGCCAAGTGCTCTCCGAGGGTCCTTGCAGGATCTTGGTGTTTATGGTCTCAGCGGCCACTTGCCGCAGTTGCTTCTTTGTATGTTTTTACTGAGGAGCTCTCAGGCAGCCCCTCCGCAGCCGAGCTCTGAGGGCTTATACACAACCGCAGATGAGATGACAATATCCTGTCTCTGCTTACTTTATTCTTTTTTTTTTAAGATTTTATTTGTTTATTCATGAGAGACACAGAGAGAGAGAGAGACAGAGACACAGGCAGAGGGAGAGGCAGGCTCCATACAGGGAGGACATGGGACTCGATCCCCTGGTCTCCAGGATCAGGCCCTGGACTGAAGGTGGCACTAAACCCCTGAGCCACCGGGCTGCCCTTACTTCATTCTTAACCAAAACAACATCACTCTTTAAAAAAAAAAAAAAATCATTTTTGTCATAAACAAGTTGATTTGAAAAATCATAACAAACCAACACGCGACAACCATAGTTCTTCCTTCTCGAGGTATTTTCGTCTCTGGGCTCCCAGAACACAGTGATCCCTTAGTCTTCTCCCTACCTCACTCACTGCTTCTTTTTTTCTTGTTCTTTAAAGATCTCATCTATTTATTCATGAGAGATACACAGAGAGAGGCAGACACACAGGCAGAGGGAGAAGCAGGCTCCCCGGGGGGACTCGATCCCAGGACCCCGGGGTCACGCCTGGAGCTGAAGGCAGATGCCCAACCACTGGACCACCCAGGGGCCCCCCTCACTGACTGCTTCTTCTCCATCTCCCGAACTCTGGATGTTGGGTGACCCCAGCTACCAACCTTGTGATTCCCCGCAACTCACTCTTTTTGCACTTTTCTTTCGCTCGCTCGCTCGCTCGCTAAATAGCAACCCCATCCTTCCAGTTGGGCAGGCCAAACTCTGTGGGGTCATCCTTCTCTTTCTCTCATGCTCCCTGTCCAATCTGTCACAAATCTCATTAGTCCCACCTTGGAGTTGTGCATAAAACTAACAACCCCTAACCCCCGGCTCTACTACCACTGCGGCCCAAGCCCAAGCATCTCCTCCGGAACTGAGTCAGTAGTCTCCTAAGGGCCTCCCTCCTCCTCCCTGCCCCAGTAATCTGCCCTCATCATTACCTTCGCCCCCCCCCCCCCCCCGGCCTTCTGAGCCTTCTGTGAGCACCTCCACTGCACAGACTCCCCACTAGGCCTGGAGTCCTCTGTGGGGCTCGACCCCAGGACCCCGGGATCACACCCCGAGCCCGAGGGAGTCGCTCCCAGGTGTTCCAAGACCAGCGTCTGGGGTGAGGGGACCTGGCGGTGGAGATGTTAGGGAAGCTGAGGTTCAGGGCGGCTGGGGCCCGGCCCGGGGACCCTCCTAACTTGCTTCTCCTGCCCAAGTACTTCGTCCTCGTCCCCGTCCTCCCGCATCAGGCATCAGACCTGAGCCTGCAGGCCCCTAGCCCTCCTCCTGCTCCCCCCTCGCCTGCACCCCGGTCTGCCCCCTCCCCCCCAACTGCAATCCCTATAGACTCCGAGGGTCCAGCTTCACGAGATCCGCCTGGGACGGTGCCGCGCCGGAGGGCAGCCACGGAGGCAGGAAGAGGGAATGGGCTTTCCTAGAAGGGTCAGGGAGCCGCCTGGCCTGGCCCAGGGAAGCAGGGGAAGCAGGGGAGAGAGGCAGGGAGGAGGGGGAGGAGTCAGGAAGGGGAGGGAGCAGGGAGGAGGAAGAGGGGGGGGAGGAGAGATCAGGGAGGAGGGGAGAGGAGGGAGGGAGGAGGAGAGAGGAGGGGGAGGAGTCATAAGATGGAGGGATGAGGGGGAGGAGAGAGAGGAGGGGTAGGAGTCAGGAAGGGAGGGAGGAGGAAGGAGGAGTGAGAGGAGGGGGAGGAGTCAGGAGGGGGGGAGGAGTCAGGAGGGAGGGAGGAGGGGTAGGAGTCAGGAGGGGAGGGAGGAGGAAGGAGGAGAGAGAGAGGAGGGGGAGGAGTCAGGAAGGGAGGGAGGAGGAAGGAGGAGTGAGAGGAGGGGGAGGAGTCAGGAGGGGGGGAGGAGTCAGGAGGGAGGGAGGAGGGGGAGGAGTCAGGAGGGGAGGGAGGAGGAAGGAGGAGAGAGAGGAGGGGGAGGAGTCAGGAGGGGAAGAGAAAGACTGGGAGGGAGGAGGGGGGGAGGAGGAGAGAGCCGGAGGGAGGGGGAGGAGTCAGGAAGGGGAGGGAAGAGGAGGGAGGGGAGGGTGGAGGAGGAGGAGAGGAGGGGTAGGAGTCAGGAGGGAGGGAGGAGGAAGGAGGAGAGAGGAGGGGGAGGAGTCAGGAGGGGAAGAGAGGCGAAGAAGCCCGAGAGAGGGAGGAGGAGGAGGGGAGGAGCTGCCGCCCCGCGGCGCGCCGGGACGCATGGCCTCGGGGTCGGGGTCGGGGTCGGGGTCGGGGTCGGCGGCGGCGCTGCTGCGGTTCCTGCGGCAGGTGGGGCAGCTCAAGGTGAGCGGCGGGCCGGGGGCGCGGGGGGCTCCAGCCCGCGGAGGCTGCACCCCTCCCCCCCTCCCGGGCCTGCGGGCCTCCCCCTCCCTGCGGGGCCGAGGCGGCGCGGGGTCGGGGTGTCGGGGCGAGCCCGGGCGGGGGTGGGGTTGGGGTGCCCCGCGGCGCCCCCTCCGCCCGCCCAGCCGCGCCGCAGCCCGCAGGGGGCAGCAGGAGCCCCCGGAAAGGCTCCTCTCCTCTGCGCTTCCAAATCTGCAAGCCTGTGGCTCCTTAGGTTCGCAGCTTTCCCCACAGGCCCCGTCCTGCCTCTTTAAATGCAAAAAGTCCCAACTCTGGGAGTTCGAGAAACGCAGTACTTTACAGTTTTATTTTTAATGCCTGAAGAACTCCTGTATGGCCCATAATTCCCACCCCAGTAACACGGGCTAACTTGACTGCTGGACTCTTGCAGTGTTTACATGTGAATTATTTCTCCCTCTCCTCTTTCTCTTTTTGTATTTTGTATTTTTATTTTTACTCCCCTCCCCCCTTCTCCTTCTCTGACCCCACTGGCTTATTTGATTCCAGATGTGGACCATTCGGGTGGTGAGGCCGCCTGTAATACTTTCTGAAACCATCCTTTTTTTTTTTTTTAATTTATTTATTACAGTCACAGAGAGAGAGAGAGAGAGAGGCAGAGACATAGGCAGAGGGAGAAGCAGGCTCCATGCATCGGGAGCCCGACGCGGGATTCGATCCCGGGTCTCCAGGATCGCGCCCTGGGCCAAAGGCAGGCGCTAAACCGCTGCGCCACCCAGGGATCCCATCACACTACTTCTGTACCCTACTCCGTAGATTTCTCTCGAAGAGCACAGCAGACACGTTAAATATTTATTTTTATCAACTTCTTTCTCTTCTTTTCATCAGAGAGTCCCCCGGACCGGCTGGGTATACAGAAGCGTCGAGAGGCCTGAGAGTGTATCGGATCACATGTACCGAATGGCAGTTATGGCTCTGGTGACCAAAGATGAACACCTCAACAAGGACAGGTAAGCTGCTGTGGACGCTGACACCTGTTAGGACCGCCGGTCTGTGGGTTCGGCACCGCTTCTTGTGACCGGGGCCTGTATCTAATTCTCGGAGGTTACTTAGAGAAAATAAATGAGAGACTATTTGCAGCGACCCATACAGGTTCAGGGGGTAGGAAGGGGAATTACATGTGTTGATTGCTTCGGTTATAAACAACATTCTGGTTTTCTTTTGGCAAGTGATAAAGCCTGCCTTGGTCTCCAGCAGACCTAAGTGTGATATTAGGATTTCCAGGCCTGAGAGTGAGTGTGATAAGTCTCAAATCCTGTCATTGTGTTAGTACATTCTGTGCCTTAGTCTAGACCCTTTCATGAACACTATCACCTGTTTGTGAGGTGATTTTTCGGAAGGGTATGTGCAAGACGTAGCTGAGAAAGAGGTATCTCCTTTTAAAACTTTTTTTTTAAATTTTTATTTATTTATGATAGTCACACACACAGAGAGAGAGAGAGAGAGAGAGGCAGAGACACAGGCAGAGGGAGAAGCAGGCTCCATGCACCGGGAGCCTGACGTGGGATTCAATCCCAGGTCTCCAGGATCGCGCCCTGGGCCAAAGGCAGGCGCTAAACCGCTGCGCCACCCAGGGATCCCAGAGGTATCTCCTTTTAAAGTCAACAAGTGTTTAAAAGGTTTTGTGAGCACAGGACAAAGTTTCCTAGCAACATAGGACAGTAGATAAATCTCCCATGAAGGACACAGGTCCCAACTGGCTTCTATAAAAAAGCACAGAAGTTATATTCAAAAGTTAGCAAGGTTGGGGCACCTGGCTGGCTCTGTCGGTTGAGCATGTGGCTCTTGACCTTGGGGCCATGAGTTCGAGCCCCACATTGCCTTTGGGGATTACTTTTTTTTTAAAAAAAAATTAAGAGTTTAAGAAAACCCACCAAGGTATTCTAGTAGAAGAGAGCAGGTGTCCTTGGCTGATCTTCATAGAGAGAGTGGAATCTCGGGTGAGCTCTGAAGAGTTGACTTGGTAAAGGAGAGGACACAGAGTGCAGAGAGGAGGGTATAGCCACCAAAGCCCTGGTGTAGGAAATTAAGGCTATGTTTTGGAAATGATACGTCGTAAATCGTCAGTTTGATGGTAGCAAAGGTTCATTAGAGTTGAGGAGCCCTGTTACTCTGTAGATGGTGTGGAAGTGGGATTTTTGGCAAAAAGTACAAGACGAACGTGGTGTCAGAAAGAGATAACGAACCTGAGAGTAGCTGGAGGTTTGAACTGGATGACAGAGACAGGCTGAGGATGAGACAGTCTTGTGAACTGCCTATGACATAGTGGACACGTGAAACAGACTGGCCTTCGGGGCATTTATATCATGACCTGCCTTTGTTACTTTGACAGTGATTATCCTCATCAGTTAATCATTATCACCGGTAACCATAGCCATTTGCTTATTGATCAACATGGTGCCAGGAACACACATTATCAAACTGAGTTTTATACCAACCTTATGGCGTATTACTATTCCTTTTCTTTTTCTTTTTTTTTTTTTTTTATGATAGTCACAGAGAGAGAGAGAGAGAGAAAGAGGCAGAGACACAGGCAGAGGGAGAAGCAGGCTCCATGCACCGGGAGCCCGACGTGGGATTCGATCCCGGGTCTCCAGGATCGCGCCCTGGGCCAAAGGCAGGCGCTAAACCGCTGCGCCACCCAGGGATCCCTACTATTCCTTTTCTTTAAAAAAAATATTTCGTTTGTTTATTCGTGAGAGACACAAAGAGAGGCAGAGACACAGGCAGAGGGAGGAGAAGCAAGCTCCAAGCAAGGAGCCCCATGTGGGACTTGATCCCGGGACCCCGGGATCACACCCTGAGCCAAAGGCAGATGCTCACCTCAACCGCTGAGCCACCTGGTGTCCCTTACTATTCCTTTTTTACAGATGATAAAACGAAGGCTGACAGATTGGAGCCTTGAAAGAAATTAAGTAGCTTGGCAAAGGTCACACAGTGTATGAGTGGTTGCTGGGTTTGGAACCACAACTGTCCTAGTGCACGCATCTCTCTATGAGGAGCCTCATGTTGACATCTGGCTAGCATACTGGGGAAATGATTGTTTCTGAATTTTGTATCAGGAAGTAAATGCTATGACCAGATCCTCTCCTCTTGGCTTTGTAATCTGAAGTCATCAACCTTTTAAAGTGATATTTGAAAAACTGGTCATTAAAAAAAAAAATGCATGCTAACCGTTTCTCCTGCATTCATGTATTATGGTGTTGAATATTAACGAGCAGTTTCAAATCGGAGCTGTTGTGGGCGAGGGGGATAGAGTTACTCTAGAAAGTACTGCATTAAAACACCCTGTGAGGATGGAGGGGTAAAGGAAATTGCAGCTTCACAGGTAAAGGAGAAGGTCCTGGCAGTGAATCTAACTCTGTGTGGTCGTTCAATATTTCTCGCCTGGCCAGATGTGTACGCCTAGCCCTGGTTCATGATATGGCAGAGAGCATCGTGGGGGACATAGCACCAGCGGATAACATCCCCAAGGAAGAAAAACATAGGCGAGAAGAGGTCAGTGCTGTTTGTTCCGCAAGGGACCACCGGAGGGACCCGTTGGTGACACCGAGCTGTTGATTAGACCTGATGCAAAACTGTTGACAGAGTTTTGATAGTGACTCAGAAAGGGGAAATCAGGGGAGGATATTTGTAGGGTTTGAGGGCCTGGGATGGAGAACGTTCAGATGGATCTCGTGGGACAGGCAGCTGGTTAGGTGGCACAGAGGTCAGGACAAAAGAGCCTCGGAGTGGACCGGTAGGACTGGTGAGGCGGAGTCACCCCAGGGTGTTGAGGAATCCGTTGTTGGTGCTTACTCTCTTCTGGGTGGCTTACAGCCTTGGCTTCTAGAAGCAGGGATTTCCAGAAGTGAGCAGAGCACTGGTGTGGGTTGTTCTCAACCTTGTTTAACACAAGATCAGGAAAGTACGCCTGCTGCCTGCCTCGTGGGACACCGGGTCAGGAAGCTGCTGGCTGCTGTTCTCGTGCGTACGGACATAGATAGTACGGCTTTCATTAGCACGAGGGCAGTTGCTAGAACTTGAAAGAATTCTCCAGGCTGGCTGAGCTCTTTGGAGGAAAGTTCTGCAAATCCCAAATATAATCATTATTATAGTTACTTGTGAGTTTCCAATTAGTCCTTTAGCATATTGGTTAGAATAAAAACATTTATAATAGTAGGAAATGAACATAAAAAAAAAAAAAGTAAATCAGCATCAGTTTGGGCTCTAAATCCAGAGCCCAGGGCCAACGAGGAAGACATATTTGACACAGAAGTTGGAAAATCCAAGAAGGTGTTTTGTTTTTGTTTCACCTTTTTTTTTTTTTTTAATGTTGAATAGCTGGTTCTCAATTCAGGGATTATTGCAATGTACTTTTATTATAGGACATTGGTCCTAAATTGCTAAGTGGCCGGATCCTTCATCAAAATGGTTTAACAGGGCAGGTGGGCTTGAATAGCTGTTCTCAGAGCTGGGGGAGACGGCCATTCCGTAGGCAGCAGGACTTTTATCCCTCCAGAGACAAGGGATCTCCCTCCACTTTAGGAATTCTGACATTATGGGAACAAGGGAAACGGTGTAAGGAATGTGTTCTTCCTGCCAATGTACAGACCCAGAATATAGGCTCCGCATCACGACAGCCTGTAAAAGGGAGAAAGCTGAGGAAATGCTTCTCTGTGGGAGTCTAGACTCTTGGTGAATAAAGAGGCCCTAGACTGATTGGCAGAATGAATGCAAGACGCAGTTAGTTCAAGATCCTGAGTGGCAGGAAGAATTAGCCCTGGCCCAGAGGGTGTTGAGTGGTGCCCCGACGTAGAAGAAAGGGATGAGGACAAAACTCCCTAATCATACAGCTCATTTCAGGACACGTGATGGTTTTTTTCAAGGATAAATCTGGACTTTGTGGAGAAGACGTGGTACAGTGAAGTATCAGAGGGTCCTCGGAGACCGTAAAGTGACACACAGAGTGAGAAGACCAACTGGCCCCATGAAGGCTCATAATGAATTTGAGGCTTCCTCTACAGAGGAGCAAGTCAGAGCCTTTTGGGGAAAAAAAAAAAAAGAGAGACAGAGAGTCCGTGGGCAGGCTCCCCAGCCTGTGAAGATGAGAGAAGACTGGCTACTGTCTGGACAGGAGTGAGGCCTGGCCAGTGACACCTCACGGAGGGGCCTGGTGGGGCCCCGGACAGAGGGACCCGCCATCCTGGCAGTGATGAGAACTTCTCGGGCCTCCTCGTACCTCCTGGGTGTCCCGGGGGACTTGGTGGGACAGGGGAAGCATCGTGAGGACTCGCGCAGGTTCCGAGACAGGAAACCAAAGGCCTGGAAGAGTGTTGATACCCCCCTTGCCTCTTCCTGCCACGTGTTAGGATTTGGGAACAGAGAGAAAGGTCTGGAAAGTGAACAGCTCTTTATGCAGACGGCGTTTGTGAGCTAGACTTGGAGGTCTGAACCGTGCAGTAAGATAATTAAGTGAGGGTTCCTTGGCTCAAGGCTGATTGTCGGGCAGGAGAGGAGGTAGCGAGAGCAAAGGGAAACGAGGGCCTGGCAGAGAGAATTTAGGGCCAAAGCACTACCATTGTCTGATCCTCATCCTAAGCAAGAAAAGACAGACTTGTATGTTATAACCCGAGCTGGCAAGTGACTGTTCGTGGGGAGCGTCAGGGCCCCGAGGCGGGGCTGCAGCAGCAGCAGGTCATGTGCTTGGAGGCAGGATCGTGGGTGATGTGTGTCTGCGGGGTGCGAGTTGCCTGAAGGTCGCTGAAGGACCATGAGGTTAAAAGGAGAAGAACCCAGCTTTTATTGGGGGAGTGAACGTGGTAAAATAGGGAAACTGAAAAAGGTAGCGGACGATGAATAGAGTGTAGATGAGGGGCCCCGGGGCACGAGCTCCGGATAGGTCACCTCTTTCATTCTCACGCCAGCCCTTCCAGGGAGATGCCACCATTGACCCCATTTTACAGAAGTGAAGCCCGAAGGCCACGAGGCCATGTAACTTGCTCAGGGTCCGACCCCCAGTCCTCGGTGGGTCGGGCCTCAGACCCCACAGGACCCAGGGCGTGCAGAGAGGTCCCATACTGCTCGGCCTCACGAGAGGCTGCGGGATGCCTTCTGGGTGCCTCCTGCCTGCACAAAACCGCCCCAGGACGTTGGCTGAGGCGGACCCAGCTCAGGACTTGGGGCAGATTGTCCGCATGCTGGCAGCAAGGAACATGAGCACCCTGGGTCCCTGTGGACAAGGAGAGAAACCCCACAGAGAGGAAGAGGCCGGGGCAGGGCTCTCTGCCCGGAGAACAGCCGTGGACCCTGGGATTTGGCAAAGTCGTTTTCCAATGGTTCGTGTAAAACACGTAGGCACGGTTCTGCGGCGTGTGTTGCCAAACAAGGAATCTGGAAACGTCGACTACCTAACAGGTCTCGAAAGGCCATCGGATCCTATCAAACCAACGGCGGCAAATGAGTATAGATCCAGAAAATCCACGTAGGGTTTTTAAGAAGAGACCAACGACATATTCGTTACCTGTTCTTTTTAAACGAAGTGATGGTTTTCATCAACGAGTGCTTTGCCCGTAAGTCATAATCCGCTGTGATCCCCAAAAAGTTGATTTCAGCCGCAGGCTACCTTTGTAGAAATAGAGTATCTGGCACGACAGGTGGCGGGTCCGATCCCTGCTCTGTGGTCAGGCCACGCGCCAGTCACTGTGTTTGGTGCCCAGTGCGACACCCAAAAGGGAATAAAGTCACCCCAGCGTGGAGATTTTCATATACCTGCGAATACACATTAGTTCATTCTTTTCAAACAAAAGCAACAGACAGACGCGTGTCTCTGGAATAACGTCGGGAAAGGCGATCCGTTTGTAAAGACACCTTTAACTTTTGGAAGTGCAAGGATTTTCTCGAAGTGTTTGACCACCGTTGACGAAAAGGAAACAGGGGTGGATGCAGACACCAAACACGGCCCGTCTGACACCACTGCGGGCGGTCTGGAGACACAGGCTGCCGGGGCTGTGACCGCATTTAGGAGGGCAGCCTGGTGACACTGGCCATTGCAGTTTGCTCCGAAGTGGTTGGTGACATTTTCCTCCCTAACGTCTGCTGGACAAATCATGCAGATGGCCCGCGGGTGGCGGCTGTGAGCTGTGTGGCCGCAGAGATCCTGGCCCAGTGGGGCCACTGCCCACCGACTGGCCATGGGGCCTGCGTGTGCAGGAGAGGCCGGGAGGTCCGGCAGGGCGATCGGATGACGTGCACCTGTTTTCAGCTCCTTGGGGAAAGGCCTGCGAGCTCTGCCTGACGCCCATTGGGGTCCCCACTCCGGGACATGCAAGGTGCGAGGTGCCCACCCTGGGACGTGTGAGGTGCGAGGTCCTCACCCCGGGACGTGCGAGGTCCCCACCCCAGGACTGACGAGGGAGGGCGAGGGATGGCTTACGTTCGCCCTGGGTGGTGCGGCCCCTGCCCTTGCCCCTCCCCTGACCTTGCTCCTCCCTGCCCTTCCTCCTCCCCTGCCCCTCCCCTCCCCCTGCCCTTGTCTCTCTGTCCCTGCCCTGCCCCTCCTCCTGCCCCTGCCCCTCCCCGTGCACCTCCCCCTCCCCTTCCCCTGTCCCTGCCCTGCCCCATCCCCTCCCCCTGTCCCTCTCCTCCCCCCCCCCTGCCCTCCGCCTGCCCCTGCCCGCCTGTGCGTCCTCAGCCCACGGGAGACTCAGGCCGGCCCTCTCCATAGGCCAGTAAGCGCCCTGCGTGCGGTGCTTCGTGTTCCACGGCAGAACGTTGACAGTCGGAAACGAGGGCGACGGTATGCAGAGTGTTTCCCGAGCTTTGCCACGGGGGTGGCACCTGTGCCCGCGCTCAGGTCCCCTGGGCCTCCGTGTGTCTGTGCTGGAAATGCACAGGGCCCCTGCGGTCCTCCCGCCAGACGCCGACCCCCGCCTCGCTCCCGCTGCCTGCGATGGGCGCACACCCGCCCGGGTCCTGGTGGGTGGCCGGTGGCCGCGTGGCCGGGTCCGAGGTCTGGGTGGGTGGCCGGGGTCCTGGTAGGTGTCCGGGGTCCGGGGCCCCGCACACCGCAGGCCGCAGGGTGGAAGCTGGGCGAAGCGCAGGGGCCTGACACCGTCTCCCTCACATGCACCCACCGCCGCCTTGGGAGCCGCGAGCTGATCGGGCACTCAGCTGCCCTTTGGGGGGGTCGGGCACTCAGCTGCTATTTGTAAGCGGTTGAGCCCCATTTCTCGGCTTCTTAGAGGGGCTGTTAAGGAGGTAAATGTGCTCATGATCCCAAGAACTGTTTGCTATTCCAGGAGGCCATGAAGCAGCTAAGCCAGCTCCTCCCCGAGGATCTCAGGAAGGAACTTTATGAACTTTGGGAAGTAAGTATGTGGGACGCGTGGCTTTTTGACCTTTTTGTGTTGTGATTGACTGCACCTGGCTCACCAAGGTTTCGGGTGGCCTAGGGCGCCCTGACGGGCAGCCCCCAGCTTAGTCGGTTCCCCTGGGTGTCTGTTTCTTGCTTCCTGGCTGCCGCAGGAATTGCTCATGCTAAAAGAAAATTTTCTCCCTCCTAATGTCCCCATTTCCCCAGACACCACAGTGCCTGGCACAGATCTGGACTCCACAGCCCCCTGGATTTCCTGTCGCTTTGCTGTTACCCGCGCCCCCCCCCCCAACTCTCCTGCCCACCCCACACCCACCCACCCAGTTCTGGTCCTTGGGAAGAACGTGGGCCCTCACCACGCCCTGGCTTGGACCTTGGGCGTATTCCCCTCTCCGAGTCTGTTGTCCACCTGGGAAAGCCTGAAGTCTTGTTTGGAGTCGAGTTGGGGCCAGGTGAAGTGCTGCCGTGATGCCGGGCCAGAGCCTGGGCCCTGTGGGTGCTCCCTCCCTTCCCAGTGCTGCACAGCAGGGCGGGAGGCCACTTGGCTGGACGGAAAGGGCAGAAGAGTGGAGAGAGCAAAGAAAGCCATTGTGCCCCCACTGCTCTCCCTTCCCCTGCGGTCCACTCTGGCCCTCGTTCACTTGAGCCCCCAGACCCCGCTCCCTAGCCTCGAAGATCTCCACCTCACACGCTTACTTTCCAGGGTTCCCTCCCAGCCCTACTCCCCCGTGCTGCCTTCCAAGGCTGATCTTCCTCCTTTCCTTCCAAGTCTTCAGGTCCCCCCACCACCCAGCCTTGCTCTCCCCTGAGCCTCAGAGCCTCCAGAGTTCCCTTCCCACTGCCTGGCATGCTGGGTCAGGCCTTCCCTTGACTTGGGAAGACCCAGGGCCAGGTAGGGAAGTGTCGGGGTCGACCCCCGAATGCACGTTTCTCCTGAGATGGCCCGTTTACCCAGTGGCCGGATTCTGTGGTGTGCTGTGCTTTCTGGGGCGTCGCTGGGTTCAGGGATGGAAGAAGCATCCTTCCCTCGGGAGGCAGTAGGAGGCCGTGATGCAGGGAGCAGGCCTTGCTGCCAGACAGACCTGGATGTGAATCCCAGCTCCCTTGGGTCAGGTACCTGGCTCTAGTTGGCTTGTTGCTCCCAGAACATGAGAATAATAAGCTCCACAGGCCCTTAGCCACAGTTAGGGAGTCTGCAAAGTTCAGGGAGTCAGTTTAAACAAAACAAAACAAAAACACTTGTTCTAACTTGACGGCACACAGCAGGATCTTACCGGAGTCCACAGGAGGCTGTTCAGGCTGTCCCCCACTCTGACCTGTCCTTCGTGGTGTAAAAATCAATATGCTTTGATGTTAGAAATATTCATCTGTTTGGCAGCTGAGTCTGCCCTAGGCCCCACTAGGACTTCTCCGTAATACGTACTCTACATACCATATTATTTTCCTAAATTAAAAAGATGCTGAAAACTGAAACAGGGTTTAAGGTAAAATATCATGGGCCGTTAATGCCTGCCTGGCCGAATAATTGTGATAATTAAATTTGGCAAAATACACCTGGTGTCTAGCTGGAGCCTCCCTCAGGTGGTTTCTGTTACCAGGTATAACACGGTTGCTTCAGGGACAAGAGCCCCTTGTGCCAAAGAATGTACTTTCAAGGGAACTTCTGGAACACGATGAATTGAGGAATAATGGAGTGGAGTTGGGTTGCACGCCGTACATTGAAAGAAAAAAAAAAAGTCCCTGAGTTTACGAAACTAATCTCATGTCTTTAAGGAGGGACTTGCGTAATTCGAAAACCTTTTATAAGAATTGGTGTTATTCTGTATGTTGGTAAATTGAACACCAATAAAAAATTAATTTATTAAAAAAAAAAAAGAATTGGTTCCCTTGTGTCTCCGAATTATCGTAAACACAGTGGCATTATCTTTTACATTATTTTCTCAGTTAGCCACCAATAACCGGCTAAAAAACGCTGCAAAATCTACTTTACAAAAATTAATTGACTTGAAATTCACCGTAAAATCTTCTCTGATTTCATTAATTAGCTTCCAAGTGAAAACATTACAGAAAGACTTTGGATTTGGGAAAAAACAAAAAAACAAACCATAAAATACAGAGCACGAAGAGACTTGATAACCCCAAAACGAGTGACAGTTTTATGATCTGGTAAAAGTCCAAGATCTCAGGACAGGTGCACAGCTGGCCGCCTTGGTATGCGACTGTCCTTGAGAATTGTTGCTGCCTGGCGGCCTAGAGCTTAAAAGAAGAGAGCAAGGAATCAAATTGCTTTGTTGGTGATCCTGCGGGATGTTGATTGGTGCCCAGGAGGAAAACTGTGAGCTTCTTTACTCTCTGACACAAACGTCATCTTTGCATGCTCCAGAAAGGTTGGGAGCTCCTGTTCCTATGAAGAGCCTGAGGGCGCAGAAGAACATACATATAAACAGCAGCACGTTTTTCAGACATAAGTATAGAAATTGATTCACAGAGAATAGTATGCTTGGCTCTTAAACTCCTTTACCAGCTCGTACACCCCTATGAACGCAGTAGCTGCTTCAGGTCAAGAGGTAAGGTCACCAGGGCCCCGGAGGCACAGACTGAGCACATATTTAAGTCTCCGTATGAGTATGTACGTGTGCCCATGCTGGTGGGCACGAGTGTATATAAGTTTATTTAGATACTCAAAAAAAAATGTACATCCCTAATATCGAGTATTATTTTGTAAAGAGAGTGTTAGACATTAGACTTGCCCCTAACTTCTTTGGCCATTTCTCCCCGTCCTGTGCTTATTAAAGACTCTATTTCAAGAACGAGAGTGTCACTCTCCACAATACATGTTTTTTCAGAGCCCACAGTATCTTCTGACACAAAGGCCTAGCTTTGGGTGGTTCTCAGAAGATAGTCCTCTCCCCTCTTCTCTTTCTAGTGTGGATTGAATTGTGTCCCCCTAAAATTCACATTGTACCTCCCAATAAGACCTTATTTGGAGATAGGATTTTTTTTCCTGCTCCATTCCATAGTTTATTCTCAATATTTAGTAAAATATAATACACAATTAGGCAATAAATATTTGTTGCATGAATTGACAGGACTTCTTTATGGGTACTGTGAAGGAGGTTTCTTTTTTTTTTATCATTATTTCAGACTTTGTTCATCTTGAAATATATCCTTTTTTAAATTCTTTTTTAAATTCTTTTAATTTTAAATCTTTTAAAATTCTTTTAATTTTTAATTTTTTAAATTCTTTTAATTTTTATTTTTTATTTTTTTGGAAATATATCATTTCATGTCTTCTCTAAATAGGAAGTGGTAACTGCAAAGAGTTTTTCTTTTTGAGATAGGATCAAAAAATTTTGGGGGGAGATAGGATTTACACAGAGGTAACCACTTCAAAAGGGGATCATTAGGGTGAGTCCTAATCCAGTATGACTGGTGTCCTTATAAAAAGGGGAAGTCGGAGGGATGCCTGGGTGGCTCAGCAGTTGGGCTCCTGCCTTTGGCTCAGGTCATGACCCCGGAGTCTCGAGATCGAGTCCTGCATCGGGCTCCCTACATGCCTGCATCTCAGCCTCTCTCTCTGTGTCTCTCATAAAAAAATAAAATCTTTTTTAAAAAAGAGGGGAAGTCGGACACATATGTATTGGGGAGCACCATGTGAACATGAGGGAAGCTGTTTATAAGCCAAGGAAAAGGGCCTGGGGCAGATTCTTTCTCACAGCCCTTGGAAGGAACCAGTCCTGCCAATACCTTGATCTCTGACTTGTAGCCTCCAGAGTTATGAGACAATAAATTTCTGTTCCCTAAGCCCCTCTTTGTGGTTCTTTTTATAGCAGCCCCAGAACACTAATTCTGTTTCTCTGTAGCTGTTTTCCCTCTCTCTCTGATACCTCTGGTACTATGTAGTGGCTACTTTACTGTATTCTTATCTATTTTTAAATTATCTCTGTATTCTCTTTGATTCTTTCCTGTGTCTGTTAAAATTTTGTAAATTTAAAACTGGAAGAAAACCTGTGTCTGACTCCTTTAGTTTACAGACAAGAAGACAGGGCCTAAGGAGTAGTACCTTGCCCAGGGTCTCTTAGGTAGCAGGTGACAACGCCTCCCTCCTAGTTCAGCATTGTCTTCGTATGGTGATGTGGTGTGGTGGTTCACTGAGCAAACATTTACCGTTTTACCATGTTTAGGACACCTCGCTGGTTACTTATATGTAGTAAGAGACTCTTTTGGCGTCCTGGCACTGCTGTAACAGTGCAGCAGAAATTTGCAGAAATTTGGATGGCTTTAGACAACAGAAATCTATTGTCTCACAGTTCTGGAGACTAGAAGTCCAAAATCAAGGTGTCGGCAGGGCCATATTCTGAAGGCTCCAGGGAAGGGTCCTTTCTTGCCTCTGCTTGGCTTCTGGTAGATGCCTCTTCAGTTTTTATTTATATTTATTTGTTTGTTTGTTTGTTTGTTTGTTTATGGCATCTTCTAGCTTTGGCACTCCTTTATAGACACATCGCTCCAACCTGAGCCTCTGTAGTCAGGTGGTGTTATCCCTGGGTCTGTATCTGTGCCCAGATTTTTCCTCTTATAAGGACACCAGTCATTGATTGGGTTAGGGCCCGTCCTAATCCAGTATGACTTTATCTTAATCCGATTACGTCTGTAAAAGACCTTATAAGATCACATTCGTAGATTCCAGGTAGACATGAAGTTTTTTGGAGAACACTGTGCAACCCTGTATACAGACTCTCATTTTCACTTCTGCGTTTTTATAATTCATGTTCGGTGTTAGTATGTGGACTTCAATATCCAATTTCCAGGATTCACATACCCTGTTTACTGCCAGCATGATCTTGGGCAACATACTGAACCTCTGTGCGCCTCAATATCCTCGACTATAAAATGGCAACAGTAATAGCACACATACCTATCTTATAGGTCGAATGGCAGTCGAATTAATGCATACATGTAAAAGCACTCGGAATATTGCCTGACACATGGTAGGCT